ACAGTTGCAGATATGGAAAATATACATGATGCAACAAAAGATGTCATACTCTCTCTCAATGATGTTACACCAGAAAATGTAAATACATTTATTGACAGTAATGAAAGACTGTCAACAGTTGTAGATCTTGCAGGGGCATGGAAACCAGTAAAAACCTCTGAAGATAAGTTAAGCATAACCAATAGCTTAATAAAATGGTTCCTGGTAAGTAGAAGTCAGTGTGCAATCCTGCAATTTCAGAAAGGCCTTGAAATTTTGGGAGTATTAGATAAAATGAGGCAATTTCCAAGTGTGTTCAGGCAACTGATGTGCTACTCCCCAAACAGGCTCACTGTTGAGTGTTTTGAAGCTAAATTAAGTTATGATAGAAGTGAAATGGGTTCTAACTCTTTTCAAGTAGAGAATGCAGTATTGGGCTTCTGGGGTGACTTCTTAGTGGATGCTAGTGAGGGTGAATGCCAACATGAGCTCAAAGATGTACTAATGTTTATCAGTGGATGTTTAGAATTCCCTCCCCTTGGTCTGGAAATAACAGTAAAGTTCTTGCATGGGGAAAGGGGATGTAAGTTTCCCAAAGCCAACACTTGTGCCTGTGAGCTAAGTTTACCAATTCAACACACCACATATGCCTCTTTTAAAGATGATATGACATTTGCCATCTTAAATTCCAAAGGATTTGGACAAACTTAAGATTTGGATTAGAATAAACTTATTGCAACATGTAGGGGGCATTTAAAAAAGAGTAAAAGGCCAAGTTGTTTAAAGTTATTCAGCAAATCCAAAATCAATATTTTATAATCCATTCACTGCTTTTGAAATACTAAAATATGTCTAAAATGTCCATTTTAAACAATGAAAATGGATTTAGTGTTCATATATATTACAAATACTACTATGTTGATAGAGCTAAGCAACTTGGCCAAGTATCTTGTTATTTACATTAATCTTTATTGTTGAAGTTAAAATTGACTGTTTTATAGTTAATATATGAACAGTGATATTTGTTAAAAGATTAGTTCAAAATTGATAGTTATTCAATATTAGATTGGCAGATTGCATCTTTTTCCCAGCTAAATGTGACCCTCTGGAATTCAGTATATACCCCCTTCCCTGGAATTCCCTAGAAATTCATTGCCAGATACCCATATATATCTTATATACACTAGATAGTGCATCTAATTATTTTGCAATTCAAAAATTGAAGACGTGATCGCAGTTTCAGGATATTCCCATGAAATTAGAAATGTTTTCTATTTCTTAAACAGGGAATTTAAACATTAAGTTAAACCTATTCCAAATACATTTTCAAATTATTCAAATGATGAAAATTATTGGTGTTTTTTAAGCGTTTATTAGCGAGTGGGAACTATCAACATGGCCGCCATCTATTCAAATGGGGGTAACCGCTGGAATATTCTTGTCTTCAATTTTACTAAAAGAGATACGCTATCTAGTGTATATAAGATATCTATGCAGATACCCCTGAAAAATGACTTTAATTGCAGACCATGCCCTGGATTTTGGTCTCTAATCAACCCACCCCCTGGATTTCTGTGGTCTTTTTCACCCCTCCCCCTGGATTTTCCAAGGCCTTTTTTACACCCCTCCCATTGATTTTCCATTGTCCTCAACTCCCCCTGTGCGGAAAATAAATGCAATCTGCCATTGCATTGAAAATGTTGTGTTTTTAAGATAAAATATACAAACAATAAAAAACTATATTAATTGTTGAAATCTACACTTGTTCAGCTATTTGTTTTAAAATTGTGTATAAGTTCAGAGCACTTCTCCAATCAGTGGGCTTTTCTAATCCTTCTGATGTGCAAACATAGTTGAGATACTCTTGGACATCCTGATTATCCTCATTAACCGGATCAGCCACATGCTGTCTAACCTCATTAAGCTTCTCGGCATTCACAGGTTGTTTCTGATCCTCACTGTCATGGCGTTCTGGTAAGTAATACAACTCATCTGGCCGACCTGGAACAGTCTCGTGCCTTGAGGATCGAATGTAGTGGTTGTTCCACAGGGCCCTTGTGTAGTTAAGGTCTTCCTGTATAATATCACTAAAACAGAACCACATACATTCCTTATGAATAACATTTCCATATTCAAATTGACCACTATCCATGAGATCTTTAAATAGATTAATCCACCATGATGATCTACTTTTTTTAAAACAAGACCACCATGCTTCAATACGTTGGTTTCGCTTCGATTCACCATACCTATGAGCTTTCTCGCCTGCATACTCATCTGTAGCATCTACACGAAAATAGCACTGAGCTGCTGCAATGTTGCCATTTTCAGTGCCACAGTCACTCTGTACTATGAGAGGACACCCTTCATTTTGGTCAACACAATCTAAGTAGAAACGCAGTACTACAGATGGATCGTTATTTGATCTTGAAACATTCAACCACAAAACCTTGCGGCTGAATCCATCCACACACCCATGTATTGGGAATCCAAAATCTTTCAACTTGTCATATCCATCGATATGCCAGGTATGGTTAGGGCCCAAGCTCCAGTAACTCCTGCGTCTTAACCTTCTTCTTTTCCGCAATTCACAACCATCTGGATCAATTTCCTTCATTAGCCTTTGTACAAGGTCTCTGGGTGCTGTTAACCCATGCCCCATTCTGAGAGAATGCCACATAGATCTGTATCCAAATAAACACCCAGGGCCATCCATTTCTTTTCTTATGGCTTCTCTAATCTGGTCAACATCAATAGCGTCCCTACTTCTTGCTAGATTAAATGATTGCAACCGACGTTTAAGAGTAGATAATGACATGTTTATATTATGATATTTGGACATTAATTGCAGTATGCATGAGTAGGTGAAGCCACAATAGAAATACATTTCAATAATTTCTCTTTCAGTCATTTCTCCCTCTTGAGTTACGCTTCTTCCACATTCAGGACAAAAGTTAAAGAAATCTTCGAGAGCTTCTCCACATTGAATGCACTGGCCGTTGTCAGCCATGTTTACGCTTATTTCGTGCGGTCGCGAAAAAAGGCGGGAAATAATGAATTTAATGAGTATTGAGACCGTGATCGGTCAGCGGTTTCTTTGTGGCGTGAATCCGTGGAATTGTGGCGTGAATCGTGAAATTGTGGCGTGAATCGTGAAATTGTGGTGTGAATCCGTGAAATTGTGGCGTGAATCGCGGATTTGTTGGCGTGTTTCGTGTTATTGTGGGGTGATTTCACTTTTTGTGCGTGAATGACCCTTATCGGCCACCGTACGAATCAGGTTTGTGATGTCACACCGGGGACGGAAGTGAATCGACTCGTGTTGCATTATTACACTGACCTGAAAGGTCAAGTGTCTTAAATCCCTAGTTTTCTGTTTTCTGTTTTCGTCGAGAAATGGAGTTTGCGTTAGCCCATCGCAGGCTCAGTGTGCAACGATTAACCCAAAATGCCATCGATTCAAATGCCATTCGATTTCTCGACTGCTTGATTTAGTTTTCATAGTAACAAGGTCCGTATTTATGTACGTAGTAGCAGTCTCATGCTATGCTTGTGGTACATCTTTAATTTCTTTATTAGCCCATACACTTGTACGCACGCGCACAAGTCAATTACCAGTTCTAAACCTCCTGAGTCCCTATATGCCTCAGAGACCATGTGTATTTACGGATAACGTTTGTATTTGTGAGTAATACTTGTGTTTCATTGGGCATTACGAAAACATCTTCTGAGGATCACGCCACGCTTTTAGCATTTCACCGTTTCTCTGTACTATATTGTATGGGATTTGTACCAAGCGAATTTATACAATAGAATAGAATATAAACAAGGACAAGTTTGACAGTTTGACTACAAAATATTGTATGCGCAGAGTAGAATTGTATACTCAATGTGTTTGTATCATATGCAATACACATATAGTCATTCGCGCATCCGTAATGTACAGTCAATTGCGCGACATCCGTGATGGGTTCAAAGCTTACGTTTCGTCTTTAACTTAAGACATCTTCAGAGCAATGACATACAAAGCTAATAAACCTGCTAATTCAAAGCTAATAAACCTGCTACTGATCGACTTAAGACGTTTTACCCTCAGACGATACATCTGTACAAAACGCGGAAACATTTACTTGCTACTGATAACTACAAGAAACATACATTTTATTGTGTTACTGGAGATTTGTTGCGTCAAACAATAACATTACTTTTAACTTCGATGCGAATTTTAATACAAGTGTAGTATGGTATCATATTTCATAATATAGTGAAAAATGTAAACTAGCCCTACATTTCGCCGAACATAACTTCGGCCCCTTTGGACATACCTTTTTCGTAATAGTATTAATGGAATCAGAATCCAAAACACTATTTATTGTGTTATTTTCAAGCTTGTGTCTTAATTCAGATTTTCATCTTTCATTTCGGTATTTACAGAATATTTATATTTTTAGCGCGGCCCATAGAACGTAAGTCAAAACACAGTTAATAGAAATAGGAAACAACGCGCTGTTTAAATCGTAGGGGTCTAAAATTCGACTTAAGACGTTTTACCTTCAGACTGCGCTTCCTTGGAAGTTGACTGCATGGTTGGGGTTTTTTCGTGCAACGTCTCTGGAAATGCAAATCTGGATCGCCGAGTTTTTCAAGTTTTATACGTTTAATATACGGACTCACGGAATGTAAACAATGTTGTCTGCGTTAGCGCATCGCATGCTCAGAGCTAAACCATGTGCATTTGTGGATAACGTTTGTATTTGTGAGTAATACTTGTGTGTTTATTGGGCATTACGAAAACATCTCCTGAGGATCACGGCACGCTTTTAGCCTTTCACGCTTTGCGTCTGCGGTTCACGATTTGTATTCTAATCTTGTCTATTGCATCGTAGCTCGTATGTCGTCATTTTCAGGTCAGTGTGAACGCCTGAGCAGGCGTCTTGTTACAATAAAATCTATTGTGTGCAGTGAAAATTTGTATACTTTGCGCTTCGAAATGCCTGTTAGATATGTTGAATACGATTGTTCTAACACAACAGATGCTACAAATCAAATAGCTCTACATCCAATACCATATTATGGGGATTTTCGGCTGCAGTCATTAAGGAGAAGGAAACATTGGATAGATTTGGATAAATTGAAGCGAGCCAGATCGGAGCCGTCTCGTCAATTGTCAAATGCATGTTTGCACAAAGACATGCATTTCAAGGCGGATGACTTTTTGTACACTCTGAATATATCGGGGCTAAAAGAACGCACATTTCCTCGACTAATGAGGGATGAAATTGGGGTTAGCGTTTATCCGACGGTACAAACTGTGGTCGAAAGGCAGGAGGACATATAATAATGCTATTAAAACTGCGAGGGTGATTTTATATACAAGGTGAGACGATGTCTTATATTGCCTTTAATATACTTGGTTTTATATTTGTTGAGAATGATAGTATTGGATATTAAAACTAAAAGGAACTTTATTAAATACATAAGTCTTGTGGTTGTTCAGCGTCGCTCCTGACGAAGGGCCTTTGCTCTTTTATAGGCTTGCGTGTACCGCCACTACAAAGATTCTATTGAATACAATTGTATAATACTACATTAAAATTAGATTAAAAGGCGAATTAGACGCAAGGTTAGACAATGTCTTTTATATTGCATGATATACACTCTGCTAATATCTGCAATACTATGTTTCCGAGGCTCCAGGACATTGGTAACATTGAAATATCGAATGCAGTTGGGGCAGTTGGCAGTACTGATTATAGATGCACTCAAATATGAACATTGAATATTTTAATACTGGGTCCTGTTTTAACAACAAACTTTTAAAGAACATTTATCTAATTTTAATGTAGTATAATACAATTGTATTTAATAAAGTTCCTTTTATTTTTAATATCCAATACTATCATTCTCAACAATTATAAAACCAAGTATATTAAAGGCAACATAAGACATCGTCTCACCTTGCGTGTATATAAAATCACCCTCGCATTTTTAATAGCATTATTATATGTCCTCCTGCCTTTCGAGTTTCGACCGCAGTTTGTACCGTCAGATAAACGCTAATCCCAATTTCATATCTCATTCAGTCGAGGAAATGTGCATTCTTTTAGCCTCGAAATGAAATGCATGTCTTTGTTTGATTGACGAGACGGCTCCGTTCTGGCTCGCTTCAATTTATCCAAATCTATCCAATGTTTCCTTCTCCTTAATGACTGCAGCCGAAAATCCCCATAATATGGTATTGGATGTAGAGCTATTTGATTTGTAGCATCTGTTGTGTTAGAACAATCGTATACAACATATCTAACAGGCATTTCGAAGCGCAAAGTATACAAATTTTCATTGCACACAATAGATATTTATTGTAATACAACATGAGTCAATTCACTTCCGTCCCCGGTGTGACATTACAAACCTGATTCGTACTCAGCCTCTTTTCTCCCGGCCATGTCTTGAAAAACCCTATTTTTTTGCCTGTTTGATCTAAATTATCTCTGGAAGTATTTATCCGATCAAGGAATGATATATATCATTCGAATTGTCTAATTTTTGCTGATTTTTGGTGAAAAAATGGTATTAATGTCATATGCACTTTAAAGTTGGTTGCAAGCTAGCTGGACTTATAAATGCCAGAACTCATATGTGAAAAATGCTTGGATCAATTTATTTCATCTGTAATGAACCCATTTTTAATCCTAATAAGTGGCAATGCGCCCCACTACAATATTTTACTCTGTCCAATGCCAGACGATTTTACTCGTCAAGTTGAGTGCTGCCCCTCAATGGGTTCAGTTGCATTGCACCCTACTGTATATGTTCGTGTTACTTCGTCTAATGCCAACAATTTTACTTGTCAACAAGAGAGCACAGTGGTACGTGCTGAATGGGTTAACATATAAATAATGTCTACTCTACAGTAAATTTCCCTGTAATTGGACTTTGGAGCCTGGTATATGTGACTCACTATTTCTTCAAAGTGTGTTCTAATGATACTAGCTGTCACTATTTTATAAATATAATTGACATTTCGCATTTAGGGTGATCCGGGATGTAAGTCATGTGAACAAGTTCTTTGGAATGTTCAAATAACAAGAATAGTGGTGTTATAGTAGTGGTGGCACTTGCCAGACCTACCGTAACTGGAAAAACTAACAATGACTTTTCTCCAAAGTCTTATATCAGGCTTTTTTTCAGGGATTTTTAGGGCCGTTAAACGGCCCCAAAAACTCAATCTTGAATTGAGTTTTGAAACTCAATCTTCTCACCAAAGTTTCAGTGCAGTAAAAATGAAGTTGTTTGAGTTAAATTTGTGATGTGTGGAAATTAGTTTTCAGTTGGAAACCCGACAATTAAGAAAAAATGGCTGGAATTAATCTCACAACACAAGAAAAACTATGCATTCGCCATCTTTAACCAGTTTATAGTGTCCCTCAATGCCCCTGCTTTAACACATTCCGTCTCAACTACATTTGTTGAGTACAAGTGTTCCACCACAGCTGTTCAGCTAAACTCAATCTTCTCTGCAAAAACGGACCCAAGAGAAAATCCTAAGAAAAACCCTGTTATATGTACTACAAGAAATGGCCCAAGGCATCAAAACAGGGAACAGCCAAAGAATCACCCATGGAGCTACAGTTATAATAATACTGATTGTACAGTTGTAATTATTAATTTGATAATTATTCTTTGACCAAGTTTAATTAAAATAATACAAAATTAATCATGATTTTGAATCTTTAATTTACAAACATGTTGCAGCTTGGTACTGAGTTTCATTAACAGTTAAACAACAGTGGCATGGACTCATGCATTGTTGGAAAATTCTGCATCTCTATTGTTTTGACACTATTTTCATGACCAATTTTGTTGTTTTGACTTCATTTTGACCAAGTCAGTCAGGTTAGTAACTATCTTGTCTAACATTTAGAGATCTTGTCTTGTTCAAGTGAGATCTCAAACTGTCAGAGCCAGGTTATCCATGCAAATTGAAAGGAATTTCCACTATAAAAATAT